AAAAAACCATCGGCTGCTCCTACCCATCCACCAACTCAACAAATGGTCGACGCATCCATTAAGAGTTTAAAGGAACGTGGCGGCTCATCACTTTTGGCAATTAAGAAATACATTAGTGCCACATATAAGTGCGATGCTCAAAAATTGGCACCATTCATCAAGCGTTATTTGAAATCTGCCGTTTCCAGTGGAAAATTGATTCAAACTAAAGGAAAAGGTGCGTCTGGTTCATTCAAATTATCAGCTTCGGCCTCAAAATCCAGTGAGGGAAAAGTAAAGCCAAAAGCAGAGAAGGCCAAGGCCAAAAAGAAGACGGCTACTGGTGCGGCATCAAAGAAAAAGGCGGTAAGTGGTGCCAAAAAAGCGGCTGGTGAGAAAAAGGTGAAGAAAGCCGTCGCTAGCAAGAAAACAGCTGAAAAGAAGAAAAGTGAAAAAGCCAAGGCGAAAGATGCAAAAAAGACTGGTGCAGTGAAAGCAAAGCCAGCCAAAGCTAAATCGGCTGCCGCCAAACCAAAGGCAGCAAAAGCAAAATCGGCCGCTGCCAAGCCAAAGAAAGCTGCCGCTAGTAAAAAACCAGCTGCAAAAAAAGCAACAGCTGCTAAAAAGTAAATTTGTTTACGGAATCCATATTCTCGAAACAAACTTAAAAAGCCCTTTTCAGGGCTACAAAATCTATTAGCAAAAAGATCAAAAAATACTTTGTTTACACAATCAGATATGTATCTGAAAATTTAAGATTTTTGAAAATTCCAACGCACTAAAACTCGTATGCGTCGCTTCTTTAAAAATATAAATTAATGCCATTTTACATTTCATCATTTGTACACGTTTCTTTTAACATTTCGGATGCTTACTGATGATGTTATGCATTTAGCTGGTCGTTATGGATCTACTTTGTGTACTGTACATTTAGAAATTCATAGCACTTTTTCCTTACGTAAATTGAATTTCATATATTTATACATACATACATTTGATTTGCCCTTATATACAGAAATTTTATATCTCTTTAATTAATATGTTGTGGCCCTGAGAAGGGCCGATTTCTTTGTTTCACTGCATCTTGGTTAGACAAATTATTTAGAGCTTGTATATTTGGTGACAGCCTTGGTACCTTCACTGACGGCGTGCTTGGCCAATTCACCAGGTAAAAGTAGACGTACGGCAGTCTGAATTTCGCGACTGGTAATGGTTGAACGTTTGTTGTAGTGGGCTAAACGTGATGCCTCAGCAGCAATACGCTCAAATATATCATTCACAAAACTGTTCATGATGCTCATGGCCTTCGACGAAATGCCGGTATCAGGATGTACTTGCTTCAAAACTTTGTAGATGTAGATGGCATAGCTTTCCTTCCTCTTGCGCTTCTTCTTCTTGTCATTTTTGGTGATATTCTTCTGAGCCTTGCCGGCTTTCTTCGCTGCTTTTCCACTAGTTTTAGGCGGCATTTTTCAAATCACTTCACTTCACTTTTGAGTCACTCTATAACAACGTTTAAAATGTGTACACTTAAGTACATTTTTTCCGACAATACATTCAGGCAAACGCAACGAATCGGCGCAAAAGGCAAACACGAATTCGAATACATAGAAAAGGGGATGAATGACAACCAAATGAAAAAGTATATAAGCAGCGCATATTGATAGTCCTAACATATACTGCTTGTGAGCATACTGTGAAGTGTTTTATTAGTGAAGTGAAAAATAAAAGAAAAATAAACAAAAATGTCTGGTCGTGGTAAAGGTGGCAAAGTTAAGGGAAAGGCAAAGTCTCGTTCTAACCGTGCTGGTCTTCAATTTCCCGTCGGTCGTATTCATCGCTTGTTGCGCAAAGGCAACTATGCTGAACGTGTTGGTGCCGGCGCTCCAGTTTATTTAGCTGCTGTTATGGAATATTTGGCGGCTGAAGTACTTGAATTGGCTGGTAATGCTGCTCGTGATAACAAAAAGACCAGAATCATTCCACGTCATTTACAATTGGCCATCCGCAATGATGAGGAATTGAATAAACTGCTGTCTGGTGTGACCATTGCTCAAGGTGGTGTTTTGCCTAACATTCAAGCTGTACTTTTGCCCAAGAAAACCGAAAAGAAAGCTTAAAGTGTACATTGCAGTCAATTTAAACATTTCATCCACGCAACAAAACCGTCCTTTTCAGGACGACAAAATTCATTTACAAAGAGATTAAACATATTTTCTTAAAAATAGTTGATTAATTTTCATTTATTATATGTGCCAATCAAAGAAATTTTATATGTATATGTATGTGCATATAAAATCAACAACCACTTCGAGAGTCCAAGCGCTTGAATTCGCGCCAAAATTGCCCCTTATTTAGAAACTTTTTACACACGTGTACGTACAATAACTGAATAAGCCACAGTGGATACAGAATAATTGCACATACATACATATTTAGGTATACTTTTACATATGTATATGTACATACATACATGCATACAACTAACTAACAGCGTCACTGAAATGCAAAAGGTACAGTACACCACAAATTTATACCTAGCAAACGAGTGAAAATCGGTAGGTAAAATACTAATGTTGTAAATATGTATGTATATTCGAAATAATTTGATAATTAAAACTTTGATCTTTTGTTTAAAAAATTGTGGTCCTGAAAAGGACCGTTTTTTATAAATTGAGATTTTTCGTTCGTAATTTATTTAAGCACGCTCTCCACGAATACGTCTAGCCAGTTGAATGTCTTTGGGCATAATTGTGACGCGCTTGGCATGAATGGCGCACAAATTGGTATCTTCAAATAAGCCAACTAAATATGCTTCGCTTGCTTCTTGTAAAGCCATAACAGCGGAACTCTGGAAACGTAAATCGGTCTTGAAATCCTGGGCAATTTCGCGTACCAAACGCTGGAATGGCAATTTGCGGATCAACAATTCAGTACTTTTTTGATAACGACGAATTTCACGCAAAGCCACTGTACCGGGACGATAACGATGTGGTTTCTTTACACCACCAGTCGCTGGTGCACTCTTACGGGCAGCTTTTGTTGCCAATTGTTTGCGTGGTGCCTTACCACCAGTCGATTTACGGGCTGTTTGCTTTGTACGAGCCATTTTCTACTATTCACTTTATTCAAGAAAGAACACTAACACTGATTCACTGTACACTGTACTAATATTAAATAATACCTTAGCGTCAGTGTAGAAATAATAATATACACAAAAGCGTTTCTCCCGTTCATTGCTAAAGTAGTATAATGGGGTTGATATATTACATACCGTCTTCAAAAGCGACACAACACAAAATTTGTCATTTTTGAATTTATGCGCTAAAAATGTACACTGAGCTTTTCTTTACCTTTCAGCAAAAGCCGGAGAAAATATTTGTTATAATTTGTTAAAAAAACCTAAGGCAAAGTCTCCCTTGTTGATATGATTATCATGTGCTAAGAAATAGTTTTTCGCATTTTCTGACAAACGTGTAATTTTGAGTTGCGTTCCTTTTGAAGACGGTGCGCGAATATTTTCGTGTCGAAACGAGATAGAGATATATTTTGTACTCTATTTGTGTATCTTGGTTGTTCATTCGGCAACATACGATTCTTGTATAAATACAGGCACTTTTTAGTTCAGGCATTAATTGTGTTACCGATTTCGGTGAAGTGCAGTGTTTGTGTTCTCTACTAGTGAATAAATATACATATACATATAAAAAAAAATGACTGGTCGCGGCAAAGGTGGTAAAGGTTTGGGAAAAGGTGGTGCCAAGCGTCATCGTAAAGTTTTGCGTGATAACATCCAGGGTATTACCAAGCCAGCTATTAGACGTTTGGCTCGTCGTGGCGGTGTGAAACGTATATCTGGTTTGATATATGAAGAAACACGTGGAGTTTTGAAGGTATTTTTGGAAAATGTTATCCGTGATGCAGTCACTTATACCGAACATGCCAAAAGAAAGACAGTTACAGCAATGGATGTTGTATATGCTCTGAAGAGACAAGGCCGCACTCTGTATGGTTTCGGCGGTTAAATAAATTTTGCGGACAATAGAAAAATAATAAAACAAAAAACGGTCCTTTTCAGGACCACAGAATTTTGAACAAAGATTAAAATATTTTTGACCAATTCAATACACATACTATTTTGTAATTTTACAAATAATAAATAAATAAATGTGCATACTTATTCCATACAGCGTGTTTGCTATGTATGCGTACACACGGTATGCGCTCGTGTTGTTACGAATTATACCTGCCAGCAACGGCTCACCACTTTCCTCTGAAATTCAAACAATTTACAAACACATTCACAACTTCTTAGTCATCTCACCCATGATACCAATAGGAAGTTTAAAGGAGGTAGTTTATGTAAACAACTCCAAAGTATCCCTATGTGTGCTCGGTACATTTTTTTGCCACACCACTTGATTTGCAAAAGTGCAGTGCCATTAAGGTACAATATCTTTAAATTTATGCCAAAATCTTCGCTTTAATATCTGTATGTACATGCAAATTCATCCATACGTACATATATATATGTATGTATGTATGTACATACACATGCTTAAATATGGATATTATAAATATATAGTAGTTGTTGTTGCTTTCACATGCTTTAGCCATTTATTCAATATTAATTCACATATCCTCGCCTCGGTAAAATATTGTCGTAAGCGTCATACGTACATGCGTAACATACGACAATCGTTTACCCAGGCGATGATATGTATAAGACTTTAGGCAAGTAAAATTTGCCAACGACCATACCACGCTGAATACATCGGTTCTCGTCCGATCACCGAAATTAAGCAGCGTCGGGCGCGGTTAGTACTTAGATGGGGGACCGCTTGGGAACACCGCGTGTTGTTGGCCTTCAAACAATTTTTTTTTTTAATTTTTTTTTTGTAACATTTTATTTTATACTTTTTTCTTTTTATTTAATTTTATTTTTTAATATTTTCAATTTCTGATTGAGAACACTCGCTCATTTACAAATGCTGAGTTAAGTACGCAGAAATTACCGCCACCTCTTTTCGTTTTTTTTTTTTTTTTAAGAAAATTTGATGCCTAATTTTGCAGAACATTTAAAGTATAAGCCACTATTTTTTTTAATTTTCAATAGCTAATATAGCTTTTACAGAACAATTTTTATGAAATCATTTTGTCGTATGTTACATTTTCCCATTAAACGATAGCGAGCTGTATCACATACGCAAATCATACACGCAGCAAGTAAGCAAAAGGTAGAAATTGTTGAAAAAAAAAATTTTAGTACACGTCAGAAATAAGTGAATGAATGAATAAAAATCAACAAATAATTCAACAATTTATGCCATAGCACATACGACTATCTGTTGTGTAGGATTGGTGTGATTTTATCGTATGTTTCATACAATTTTTCATACAAGACAATCTTTTGAGAGGTAATAAAATTCATCAAACTGAATAAAAATTTGTAGTATGTAGATTAAATTTCTCGTCACATGCAACAAAATGTTGACCGGGCAAACTTGAAAATATGACCAATTTTTACTGAATATCTTAGAGAATAATTGAGATATAGGAAA